ACTGCCAGCCCGCGGACGCGGCCGTTGTCCCGGGCCAGGCTGCCCACCGTCCCCAAACGTCGTCCGGGCACCGCGACCGCGAAACGCTTCGGGCGGGCTGCACGGTCCCGGCGTCCCGTGCCCCGGGAGTTAGGGCGGCACAGCCCGTGATCCACCCCGCGAAAGACCGGAGACCCAAGGCGACGTAAGTCACAAGGAAACGCTTTTAATATCAACAGATCTCATACAGGACGCGGTTTTGGTCGGAATCAGGTTCTACTCATACGTATTTCCAAACACTTCAGTCTGCAGGTTCCCAAACAAGCTACTTCCCAGAGGAGAACAGATACACAATTATCAGCACTAGCTTTCCTCAAAAGGCTTTCTCCGGGAGGTTCTTCCACCAGCGAGGAGTGGGCTGGAATCGAAAGCCACCAGTTCCTGGAAAAAGGACTACCCAAGACACAGTGCAACGAGTATTTAAATTCAACAAGGTGGCATCGCTACAAAGAACCAGAATTGTGCAGGTTAAACAGTTTCAATGCAAAAAAAAAAAAGGACAAAATGGAAAAAGCCACCCTCAATTTTAAAAAGGGAATTAAAATTACTCCAGAAAGCAGCAAAGTTGTCTCACCATCTTTACAGCCAGCCAAATTAAAAAAACAAACAAACAAACAAGAAAGAATTACAAATCCACTCTCTCCCCCTCAGCATTTTAAAAAGATAGGCCTTAAGCATTTCGGTCAATCCGCACATCGATTTCTCGGCCACGGAGCTGGATGCCGTTCATCATGCGACAGGCTCGCTCAGCGACCTCAGGAGACTCAAACCGCACCACTCCGCACCCCTTCGATTTCCCATTCTCCATTTTGATGTCTGCATACAGTACATGACCTGCAAGAGAATTCATCGACTGTCGTGGATATCTGCTGTACTGTTTGCACTGTTCTGTATTTAAAACACTTATTTGGTCATGAGCTTTAAAGGACTGCTACTGTAAATCAGCATTTTTTTTTTTTTGGCTTAAGCAGCTACCGTACTGCAGATCAACAGTGAGGAACAAGCAGTCAAGAAATACGCCGCAGACTCGTACTTGGTAGAGCAGCCATGAAGGCCTCAGAAAAGATATCCAGATGCCAAGATGTGTCTGTACCTACAAAGATCAGAGCCATACAAGCCATGGGATTCCCTGTGACTCTCTATGGAAGCAAAAGCTGGACTTTGAAGGAGCAGGAGAGGAAGAGGAGGGATGTTTTTGAACTATGCTGTTGGAGAAGACGCCCGAGACCGTGGACAGCCGAGAAAACAAACTGGTGGATCATCAATCAACCCAGAGTTCTCTCTTGAGGCACAAATGACCAGGCTCAGATTATCCTACTTTGGATAGATTATGCAAGGACCTAGCAGTTCTCTGGAGGCGGCTCTGATGTTGGGAAAGGTAGAAGGAAAGAGATGACGAGGACGACCACCAGCAAGGGGGATGGGTTTAGTTACAGTGGCAATGGGGGCATCATTAGAAGACCTGAAAGAAACCCTTTTAAAACAAGAGAAGAAAATCCAGCCCATTCCTATTAGTGACCAGTCATCCAATCTGCATCTCTGTAATGTTTAGCTGAAATGAAGTGCAGCCACTGGTCCCAAGCCTGCTCACCCTGTGGCTAACGCAGGGCAGACAGGCACAGCTGGGTGGCCACCACTTTCAGACAAAGGCCAGGATAACTGGTCTCCCAAACTCTACTGCCACAGGTAAAGTAGCTGTCCCAGCCCTCCAGTACAGCAGCTATGAGATGCTGCTCTTAGCAAAATAGAAAGTATTATTGATTTTGAACTTGAAACAAGCTGCAGTGTTCCAGATGTTCTGGTTTCATTTGAGGCAAAATCTGGAGAGATCCCAAATGGATTTTACAGAGGGGGGCAGGACACTCTCCTCTTTTGGATGTCCTGTGTAACAATCTGCACATCTCCCATCAACATCCACACCCACTATCAATGAAGAAGCCCCTCAGCCTTGTCTTTTTCCCATTCGCTCCCAGACCACTCCTGGCTGAACACGTTTCAGTCTTTATCAGGGGGAAAAGAAGTGTGTTTCATTCCATCTGTGGAGCAAAACACTTGTAGCATGTGTTTAAGTTTGGACACAGACCGTCCCAAACCCCCTGATCTGTTCAGGGAACAGATCCCTCTCATCCCTCTTTGCTAACAAGCCCAGCTCTTTCCCCCTTAGGTTACAAAACTCCCTCGCCCTTTGATCAAGTCTAAGCAAGTGACTTACCACATTCATTGAACTTGTCTTTCAGCATTTTCCACGTAAAGTCAAAAGGAAGCTGGTGAGAACAAAGAGAAGGCACCAAAGTCATCCACTTGCTACGTTACCAGGTAGGAAGCAAGCCCCGGGCGGGCCACAAACCCCACTGGAACCCCCTTTGGTTAGTGGTCTGCTTCTTCATAGTGGAGGGACTCTCAAATTCCTCTTGACCACAACCTTTTATGAGACTGGAATGGAAGAAAATGTGGGCACCAGACAAAAGAAGAGGGAGAAGAGATGGGGCGATTCTAGCTGGACTCGCAGCCCAGCTACAACAGGGAGAGAGAGTGGTTGGGATACCCCCGTTTCCACCACCACCACCCTGGCTCAACTCACATTTCTTACAAAGATCTGGCAAGCCTTCCTGGCTACTCCGGCGGCGGCGGCAGCAGCAGCGGCAGCAGCAACAGGTCCTCCGGTTCCCAGGGCGCCAGTGAAGTTTCCGGCAGCAAAGTTGCCACGCTCCATGTCCATGGTCCTCTCAAAGCTGCTCCCCATGGCCAGCCCCATCCTGTCTAATCCTGCTCCCATGCCCTGGCTCAAGGCAGGCCCCATCCTGTCCATGCTGGTCGCAGCCGCGCCCATGCGGTCTAGCCCCATCCTGTCCATGCTGGGGGCCGCCAAGCGGTCCAGCCCCATCCTGTCCATGGGGGCCGCCCCAAGGCGGTCCAGCCCCGCTGGCATCCTATCCATCACTGGGCCCATCCCTGCAGGGACCATGCGGTCCAGGCCCAGGCCCATCCTGTCTACCCCGGTGCCCATCCTGTCCATGGCAGTGCCCACGCGGTCGATGGTCGAGCCCATGCGGTCCAGGCCGAAGCCCAGGCCAGCACCCATTCTATCCATCCCGGGGCCCATCCGGTCGATGCTGGAGGCCAAGTGGTCTAGACCCAGGGGAGCCATCCGGTCAATGCCCGACCCCATCCTATCCACCCCAGAGCCCATGCGGTCCAGCACCAGCCCCATGCGGTCCATCTCGGAGCCCACGCGCTCGATCCCGTGGCCTATCCCAGTGGGGAGCCTGTCAATGCTGGTGGCCATGCGGTCCAGCCCGGGGGCCATCCTATCAATGGCAGGAATTGCAGTGCCGCCGCCGCCACCCCCTGGAGAAGAAAGAGAAGGAGGCAGTCCTCAGTTCTGGCGCGAAAAGGGCCCGCCCAGATGCAGTCCCCACGATGTCCCCTTCCTTAAGGCTGGGTCTCTCCAGCCTAACTGAAAACGGCTCTCCCAGCCCTGCCAGAAACTAAGCTGGGGAATCTTCAGCCAGCAAAGCAAGGCCTCTGCCACGGAGCGATCCAGGGCCCTTTTGGATGCCTCTCTACTAGCCCCGCCCGGGGAAGAGCAGCCCCCGCCTCTCCAAGCCTTTGGCTCCACTCTTGGTTCAAATGCCTTCCTGTAACTTCAGCCCGTCACCGCACCCTCTGGGACTACCCTGAGCAGCTCTCGGCCTTCTTCTGCATGACATCTTTCGGGCACAGGAAAAGTGCCCTCTATCTAAGTGCCCTATGAACACCCCACCTCCAGTGAGAAACAGGTGGGGAGACCCTTCGCACAAAGCTGTGGTGTAAATGGATTTGGTTTGTTGATTTAGTCATGCCCAGCTGGATTACACTCTCCTTCTTTATGGAAATGCTGCTAATCATGGTTAACAAGACAAAACTGGCTAGACTAAACCCAAGCAAACCCCAGTACAGCTTAGCTCAGTGTAGTGACATCCTCCATCAAATGTTTAGAGTAAAAAAAAAAAAATTTTTTTTTGGCAGAGGGGGGACACAAAACAGGACATGAGTTTTATTAAAAACTTGAGTCAAACCCAGTCTGGCTCAAAGTTTGGCTGAAGTGTTCAGCCAAATCAAAACATTTTGGGCATTCTGGCTTTGGGACCTCTCTCTTTCTGTTTCTTTCCAGAGAGCCTTACAGGGCAAAAGCAGATAAAGTTGGGGCACCTCTGCACAGCCGTGGCTTTTCCTACCCCCACTTCAAAACACTTCTGCACTAACACGCGTGTTCCAAGCCCCTCCATCCAGATGGCACCAGGCAAAACCAGTTGCTCTGTGCAGATTGTTTTGTTCTTCCCTAATGCAGACCTAGCACAGTACGGTGGTTTGTGAAATATACCTTTTTATATAAATAAACTCATTCTCCCACTTTGTAAAGCTTAGGTACCAAAGCTCTGCTTTTAAGAGTTTTCTGCTCTTAATACCTTTTACGATCTAATGCTAGTTCTTTCTTACCCGCGGAGGAGAGGGAAGAAACGTCAGGCACCCCAGCAGAACTTGTTTCGCTGTCTGGGAACAGCCTTGGCAGAAACACGCCCTTCCCATCTTTTTCTCATCCCCTCCATCTCGCAGCTCTCTCTGGCCCAGCTGAAGCTGCAGTTCCTTCTTAGAAACCTGCCATTCTTCACTTGGGAAACCCGGGGACAGCCTAGCATCTGATGCTCAGATCAGACCCTTCCCGCACCCACGATCCACATCTGAAAAAGCCACTCCCTGCACACCAAACTCTTAGGAGCATGCTGGGTGCAGAGTCAGGATGACATACCTATTCCTCTGTCCAGAGTGTCTCCAAAACTACGGGGCATTCCCATTTCGTTTCTTGGGAAATCTCTTTCAAATCCTCCTCCAATTGCACGGTCCATTTCTGGAAGACAGAAAAGAAATCTAAGCCCTCTGGGAGGATGACAGCATGCAGAAGGCTCTAGCAGCCAAGTTAACGTCCTCTGTGCATGGACTTCAGATGCTCCATGGGAACTGTGAAGGTTTGACTCTTTCAACCAGTCTGTCCCCCACCTCAACCAGTTCAGAGATGGAATGTCCACCCACAGTATTTAATCCTTGAAAAGCTGTTTCTTCCAGGGACTGAGCCCTGCTGGATCATGTGCACAGATTCATCCTGTCTTGGATCTTGCTTGCAAAAAAGGCCTGTCCAGATGCTGCTGGGAACCCTTTAAGCAAAACAGCAGCAGTCGTATACTCATTGCTGTTCCCGTATACTGAAGTAACAGCTGAAATGCCTTTGCATTTGGAAGTTCCATTCTCTTCCTTGATGAGAAATGCCCTGACTGGATGAAAAGCACTGATGGAATTATCTAGTCCATCAGGCTGATCCCAATGGTGGACAAATATTCTAACAAAAAGCCTACAAATTCAGGTTCCTCTTGTTTGCCCTCAGTAGTTGCTAACCATTACACAGCATTAGGACTACTACCACCCATGCTACACAGGGCTGCCCTTGAAGGCCACCCAGTACCTACAACAGTGTGAATAGCTATGCGGAATTAGCACCTCTGCTCTGTGAGCTGTACTGGTTGCCAGTCAGCTTCCAGATGTAATTTAAGGTAAGGTGCTGGTTGTCCTCTATAAAGTCTCCATGGCTGAGGGCCTTGGTGTCTGCAGGGCTGTCTTTTTCCAATCAGATCTGCCCATCCTGTTACATCTAGCAGGGCTGGCACCCTCCAGGTCCAATCAATAGTTATGACATCCAGTGGGGCTTTGGAGTTGTGCCTTCCTGCATGGCCACGCCGCCTTCTGGGGCAGCTCCCCAGCCCTGAAGTCTGCACGGCTCTAACCCTGCTAGCATTTAAGGAAAACCCTAAAAATGTGGCTTTTTCAGGAGACCCCAAGACATTGATATCGCAATATAAATCCCCTGATGCTCTGGTGTTTTCCTTTCTCAACATGGTAGCTTAAAATGGTTTGTTCTTTTACCTTGCTTTACATTATATTTTTTACATCGACTCAGGATTCTTCAAGTGATTGAGGTAGCTTATAAATTGAATAAATAAAGTAGAACAAGCCAACATTGAGGAGTGAGAAGTAACTAGTCTGAGTGCTGACCCCGTTCCCTTCTTCAAACTCAAATGTAAAACGTTGGGCCTTCTTTCAAAGTTCAGTTGTTGTTGTAAATATCGTATTTATGAACTCTAAGACAGGAGCCTGACATGAGTCTAAGATCAGGGAAGGGAAAAAAAGCAGGGGGAGGAAGAAAAACAGCAAATAATGAGCAAAGCCATGGAAGGAACGCAGCCTTGGAATATGAAGCCCAGTGAAATCGGATCAGCTTGGAAGGTAAAAGCCGCACCTCAAGCAAGCCTGTGTGAGCCCAGCTACGCCAACCACAAACCAGGGAGCGCAGAGGAAGTGGAAAGGAGGGCTGCCATAGAGGAGAGGGCCAGACAGGAAGCCAGTTGTGGGGAAGCAACACTGGAAAGTGCAGCTCAACCCCCACTGCCCCCCAAATATTGTCAGTTGCTTGGTGAGTAGAAGAGAGTAAAAGGGGTGTGTGAAAGTGCTCAAGCCAAACTTAGCTATACTGTCCTCAGCAAAGCTAGGGGGTTAAGGGAAGATTCTTTGTGTGCCATCTTGTCATTTCCTCGCTCATCCTCCACCCCTTGGAGGTTGTTATCTCACTTAAGAATTTGTACATTCCCCCCATAAACTCCTGACCACCAACCAGGGTTACGTCTCAAGATGCCCATCCCCAGCTGTTAATGAGCTGGGAAGCACCGCAGGTGGAGAGAAGTGTTTACGTGTGCCTCAACGGGGTGCGCGTGCACATGCACAAAAGGAGGACCGCGCGTGAGACGCAAGGCAGCAGGCTCTCACCACTCATCCTGCCGATGTTCATTCCGGAAGGAAAACGGCCCAAGCTCTCCACTCCGCCGAAAGGGCCCTCCATCCCTGAAAAGCAGCACAGAATCAGCACTCGCACCTGAGCACACACGGCAGCTCCCATTTTAGGGGACTACAAATGCAACTAACTAACGGCGAAACGGGGAGGACTTACACGCCCATCTCCTATTTCTCCGATGGCCTGGAGACTGTGGCCCACAGTGCTCGCTAGTAATGCACTGGACCTCATCTGACCCAGCAGCTTGGAAAGCCCTCCAAGGGCCTCTTAAGTCGGCTGGAGAAAAATTGAGGCAAAATGGCTTCCTTCCTTCCGCTCGGCCTGGGAAGGGCAGAAGGGCGCTGGGATCCAGGCAGCGCTGACAATGAATTCCTCATCCCCCAGGGCTGCCAATGGTAACCCCGAGGTTGATGCCTGAGCACTCAGAGCTCGTGGCTAACCTGCCTCCTTGGGAGCGGGGGCACAATTGAGGACCCTGGGCTTCCGATTTAGTTATCGGCATCACGGAAAACCCTAGATGGTTTTAGGCCATGCCAGAGTCTCCACTGTTGGCCTGTTCCATCCGTGGGACTTACCTCCCATTTTATTCATTCCGAAGCCCAAGCCTTCAATGCCCATTCCTAGAAAAGAAGGGATGTGTGTGAATGCATACTAGAAGAGAAAAGCAGTCAGGGATGGGCAATTCTTTCACCCTCCCCAGCAAGGAAGAGTAGAAGAGACCAAAAGCAGCAACCCCTCTTTCTGACTTGAGGCCTGCCCGTGGGGAGCAAGCAGCCACAAACTGGCTGGCTTCATTTTAAAATCGCCCAGAGACCATGGCTGTCTCTGAAGAAAGCTGGGCATCCCCAAAAGAAAAGCCTTCCAAAGGGCAGCTGAGCACCCCCTAAACCGGTCAGGATGGCAAGAGGGGGCAGGAGGGAAGAGATTCTGTCGTGACCATCAATCGGGGTGGGGGGGGTGGGAGAAGAAATCAAGAAGTCAAAAAGCGAGGCAGCAAATGGAGGAGGCCCCCACTCACCTCCAGGGCCGAGGTTGCCCATGCCCAGCCCTTTGTTCAGGTGGTTGGCATCAATTGGGATTCCTCCTGGCCCCAATCCCATGCCGATCCCCCCAAGGCCATCTGCAAAATTGATATACAACCAAGAGTCAATGCCTCTTCATGGTTATGTAACAGCTACAGCAGAGAAGAGAGGAGAAGAGAGAAGCCTGCCCTGGTTCTCAGTGACCCTTATCTAGCCAGTCTGGGTGTTTTAGCTTAGTCAGCAAAGAGGCTGCAAGGCTTCTGCACCATGACAGGCACAAAGCAAGCCCACTCAGCTTGCTTTGAGATAACCCCCCTGATGGTAGCCTGAAACACTTTCCCTGTATGCAGTAATGTTCACTAGCATCTCTAAGAAACAAAGCCTCTTCTGGAAAGGATGAAAAAGAAAAGAAATAATATTTTGGAGGGCAAGAGTAAACTGGGATCAGATGGCTAAAAGTAATGAGAGCAAGTCTGGAGGCTGAGTCATGGCAACTGGACTTTTCTTTTTGGTAGAGACATTTCACTACTTGTCCAAGCAGCTTCTTCAATCTAAAAAAGTTGGTTAGGGGGACCCCATAAAAGTCTTCCAGGGTGGCTGTGTTTCTTACTAGCATGATAGGCTCGTTGAGGGACAATAGGAGAGGTGATTAGTAATGTCTTTGAGATGTAGATGTCTACTCCTAATCTCTCTCTCATCCCCAGGGCGTTAATTGTTGCCTTCCTGGTGAACTTTTGAACTGTCCTTAATTTTCTTGGGGACTGTTGAAAGGACAGCCTGGAAAATGGGGGACAAGTTGTGTCTGAGGCCTCCACCTCTATTGAGGGAAGGATTTTCCACTTTGACATAAATGGATTCCTTTACTCCTCTCTCAAACCACCTATCTTCTCTGTCCAAAATGTGAACATTATTGTCCTCAAATGAGTGTCCTTTTTCGTTTAGATGAGGATAAAC